CATTATATTAATTCTTTCAACATGTACTTGTGTAATTTTTTTCTTTAGTCAGAAAATAGGAAGCGAGATGCCTTCGATTGCTGTGCCTTCCAAGGAATGAATTCTCTTTCTGCAAAATTACCAGTCTGAAGTACAGTCCTATAGTAATTTTGAAATTCATTATCTGCAGATACGAACATATCGTCCTTCTGCAGGCAACAGCCAAAAGAGAGGTTCATTGTAAATCCAGGGGGAATGCTGCGCCGCACATGGAACGTCAGCGTGCCGTACGCCCCGCTCCCGTTCCGGCGCAGGGCTCTCAGAGGGATGCCGCTCCAGTCGCCCAACCAGGGAGCTGCTGTGGGAATCCTGTGGCTCAGTGACTCTGCTGCCTTAAAACCTCATTTAGGAACCAAAATTATCTCCTTTCTGTACTCATGGTTTCCCAAAATCACCCATTACAAATACAACTTTCATTTTGAACAGCCACAAAGCCTGGAAAAAGTCCTGGCTTCTCCACCTTTGACTCAGGTACTTCATTTTACCAAAAAGCTATTAACTTGTTGCCCAGAGAGATTTACCTGACTTGTGCCATTTATGGTTTTTCTTACATTTAGATGAATAATCCATTATAGGAAAGACCTGGACCACTGAAAAAAAGAAGTCTGCACCATTGAAAAGATGTCCATTTGTAGTAGAAAAAGCCAAGCAAAGCAGTGTTAAGCGCTGTTGCTGTTTGCTGCTATCCTGTTATCCAGGAGCAGCTATCCAACAAGAAGATATTGGAGGCAATAACATAAATACCCTTTTTATTTTCTAAAAAAAACCATTGCAGATTATCTTGGGAAAAGTTGCCTACACTGCCAAGTTATTTTGTTTGCTGTCTGTCTCGTGTTCTTTAAAAACCCACACACCATATCCTCCTAAAAGGCCTCCATTTCTTTCTCTTTGCCACATTGGAAATTCCTCACTTTAAATTGATTGGCATTCAGAAAATAGCTATGCTAGAAAGCTTAGCACAGCAAATTAGTCTGAAGCAGGTGTCTCACTGGGCCAGGATCAGTATGGGTACTTAATCTGTAAACTGGTTTCCACAGACATAAATTAAATTTAAAAGGCCTGGAAGACTTATTCACAAATGATTCATGTAATTTAAATCAGCTCCTTTGCAGTGCTGAGATTTAGAAATGTTTGCATAGTTTTGGGGTTGTTTTTTTTAATTTATTGCTTCCTGCATGGCCACTTGAAGAAAAAAAAAAACCAACAACAATCATTGTTCTGCAGACTTTAGAGAAAGGAAAAGAAACTGCTTGGTTCATAATCAACCTTTATCACAGATAATAGGCACTGATTTACTTGCCTCAGACTTGGAGTTCTGAATTATTCACAAAAAGCCACTTGCATTTCAATGTTAAGACAATAGTGCTCCTAAACTCTTAAGGTCACCAATAAAAATGGAAAAATCCAGCAGGAACACAAACTGTTTCGCTGGAAATTTTAGGGTGAGAAACATTTATTAACTCACAGAGACATTGCAATCTTGACCTGATGTAAGACTGAAACAGTTGCAGTTTGAGGTAGCTTTTGTTCATGCAACAGGGGCTACAGTCAAACCTTTTTTTCCATTTCAAAGGATTCCAAGAGCTTCCTCAACCTTAAACATCGAGAGGCACTTTCTAACATGCCTGCAGTGTATCTGCAAATGAAAGGCTGCCTTCAAGTCAGGGACAGTCTGGTCCAGCCAGGAATGGTTAACTGGAAACAGGAGTACCTTGGTCCTCCCCAGGGCAGTTCTATAAGGAACCAAGAAATCTTAACCTAAATATTAGATGTCCATTACCTGGATCTGGGTCATAACAAAACCCACAAGTGTCTGCTTTCGACATATCTTTAGCTCTCTACAACTATCTTCCATACACTCCTCCACAACGCGTGGAAACCTGCTGCTGCTGATGTCCAAGACCTACCACTGCTTTCACCAGGCTAGGTTTTTATCCATTTCATATAGCCAACAGATCAAAGCAAGTTATACATGTAGTTTGTGCATTCCTTTGAAAGCAGAAAAAGAAATCCAAGTGACCCTCAAACAAAGGATGGAAAAGAAATTAAAGGGGAAATGATGATATAATTTTAGTTTGAATCCATCCTAAGACAGCTGGAGAAAGCCATGGGAGCAGTATATATTCCATTATAAACCCAAATCTTGGAAAAAAATAGGATGTAACTATCACATTAAGTTTTGCAAATCTACAAGAACCCTGAAGTAAGTGTTTCTTCTTGTCCTGTTCCTTCAATAAACCAGATATGCAGGCAAAAAAATCTACCACCCGGTAGTTCTCAGCTATTTTCCATTGACCCATCGCCATTCCTCTTTGGAATTCCCCATTAAAGCATCAAACACCTTCACCAATATAGAAAACGTTCTACCCTTTCTTGAAGCCGACACCTGCAAAGTCATATGCTATTGTGTGTCTGCAACCTCAAAAAAAAAAAAAGCTTTGCTCTCAAACCCAGTAATACTTAATCCAGGGTTCAGTACATTATACAGCTACCCCTACCACTTTTTGGTAAGGCAAAAGTAATTCTTACACTTGCTACCCATTATCACCTGGAAGATCTTCTTCCATAGCAGTTGCCCCTGCACAAAAAACGAAGCTTCCCGAAGTCTGAAGATACCCTTGTGTAACCAAGGCCGTACACGGGTCTTTGCACAAATACCCAAACGCCCTTTCTGCCTATGGCTCAGGAACATTCAGGGACCAGAAAACAGATTAGAAGTTCAAATAATTTATTAAGTAACATAATTTTTTAATATATTACCTGAATAAATACTTCCAACTATATCACACCATCAAAGAATATCAAATATGAAAAATGTGGCTTTCTGGCCAAGCCATGTTATCACTTTCAGATGAATAGTTTTCTTTAATATGATAAATATTTCAGAACACAGAACTTGCATAATAATCATCTCTTTAAAGAATGGGGCTTTTTTAAACTACTAAGTGTCAAACAGGGAGATTTACCATGAAATACAAAGTTCCACTAAGAGTTCTTTAGGAAGGAGAAATTAAATTGGCTTCCAAGGTCTGCTCAGCCATATGTCTGTGTTTCTCTATGCAGTAGTTCATCTTGCTAAAACTTTTGATAGCAAAGTTGTGGTCATCCACAAATGGGTAATTCAGTGTCAAGCTAATATACTGAAGTAATTCAAGTTAAAACACAAACATACATAGAAGCTGAAGTTATGCCTTGTTATTTCAGTTACCAACACTGACATGCAACAATACTTTTTTCCTTTTCCTTTTTTAATTAAAAAGAATATATTTGGAAAGTTTATTAAGTAAAAAAAGATGACGATGTTATATTAAATCAACTCTTCTACACATTTCATATCTTTGTCCCCGTACCATGTCAAGGAACAGTTTAAGCCTCCTATTAAAGTAGTTATCAAGCACTTCATTACACCCCTTTTTTGATATGGGGTTTCCATTAAGCAAATACTTCTCACTTAGATGTTTCTTTCCTTGTCTTGTATTTTCCTAGCTATGTATTAGCAACTTCTAAAGGGACTGCAGTAAGAAAAACCATATAAAAGTGTGGTTTAGCATGATGTCCTTGATTAGGCTCTGTAAAAGGAGGAAATTGAGGATAAGAGTCACAGCTTGCTACTCTATATTCAATTAGGACTGGCTTCTTTGTGGTTGTGGTTCATGCAAGATGTGCAATTATCTAATACAGCCCAATTCTGGCAGCAGAACAATTAGAATGCATAGCGTAACTTAAAACAGGCTCTGGCAATAATTTTTTCCTTTGGTTGTGACATCTTCAGCAGACTTAAAACAGCAGTCATCAGATCGTATCCTATGCTGAAATTCCAAACTCATATTCGGAAACTGAATGCAGCTTTTAAAATACATAACAATGTGAAAATTGAATACAATATGACTGAAGAAAAGCAAGTAGAGAAGGGCTTTGATGCCTACATGTGCACATACGTACAAAAACTAAGAGAAAAATATACGCTATATTTAAGCCCAACATCCTAAAACTGACCTCTGTCCTGTGGTGAGCTCAAAGCAGGCTCTTATGTCAACTAACAGGTCAATAACATGCTCAAGGTGTGCAATGCTCAAGCACACCACCACCACCACCAATAAATCTTGCACATCTTCCTTTTTTCGCATGACTCACTTCTAGCGAAGATTCTTCGAATCTGGCAGAGTTTTCCTACCTAACAATAAACATCACCCTTTCTCCCCACTTGGTCTGCACAGCTTCCTGATGAGGTGGCCTTGCTGCAGAGTATAGGGCAAAGTCAAGTCACACACAGATTAAAATACCTCTCTTCCCACACGTTTCCACCCCGGGGCTATTTTTTCCTCCAGACACACATTCTTAAGCAGCCTTCTGTTTCACTGATGATAGCTCAGGTACTTCAATGTCAGCCTGAACGGTAACGTGAAGGAAACAACACCCAAACAACCTCCGTCTCCAGAAGTCTGTAAATTGCCTCCTGCCAAGAGCTAGGTAAGTATACTGGAAAATATCACTCTGGTTTTGCCTTATTATATTCTTTTCCTGCTATTGGCCACTGTTAGAGAAAGTGCTGTCCTAGACCGATCTTTGTCTCGATCTGGGTCATTCTTAAACCTGCGTGCTGTGCTCCCGCACTCTGGTCAATTTGTCTACTGCAAGCGGGAAGGAGTTCAAATCCCCTTGACTTTTCCTTTGGTATAAGGAGTATCCATTCTTTCGTCCCTCCATTCTTAACTGGTAGAGTTTCCAGCAGCTGTATTCTTCCTCCCAAATTATTCTTCTGTTATAATTCACTATCTCCCAATGTTATTTTCAATAAAAAAACAACAAAAATATTTACTTAAAAGAGAACATCAGGTTGGGCTGTTGGATATTATCCAATGATCAGAAAGAAGTGTGGAGTCTTTTTTTATTTCCAAACAAGCCAATTAACAAGCTACAGTGACAAGCCAACCAAACGCTTTCAGAAATGAGATACATACCCTTTAGTTTGAGGTCCACATTGTGTCGCAGCCAAGGATAAACACCATAGTTTGACATGTCTTCAGGAATAGGGTGATTAGATATCCAGCCATCACACGCAAATCGATAAAAGTTCTCACACGGATCTACAGATTGATTTATCTTGCTTAGGATGCTAGCAGCTGTAAAAAAAGACACCAGACAGATTTTGTGGAACACTTCCTCCTAAACAGAGAAATTCACAAGGCCACAGTCCAGAAGTGACAATTAACATTTATCGGTCTCTACAACGTGATGCTGTCCTCACTCGCAAGCTAAGCCTTGCTGTTCTAGGACTGATGTGTGTCTTGATCTCTGCCATTTTTTTTAAGAGCAGCAAGAATACCACTCAGCTTCTCTAGCATCTAACTGTGCCTACATGAGAAGCTAAAAAAGGACAAAATATCTGCAATGAATGTTCTTGGGTGCTGTACGGCAGTGACCACTGAACTTAACACTACAGGAACGCGAACTGCTGCAGCCAGACACCTGGAGACAGGCTCTCCATTGTTGCCATGATAGAAATAATTGCCCGAGGAATTTAGTAGCAATGCATATCAAGCAGATTGTAATTAGCATTCTAGAAATTATGCACTGTTTACCTTTAGTTGAATAGCTGCACAAAAAAACAAATCAAGTTCTGATCTACCATTCATTGAAAAAGACTATTGTACTATTTTCAGCTCCATTTTGTGCCTGCATCGCCACCAGTTGCTATTGCAGGTGACACTGGTAAGAGAGAGATTAGTCTAATAAGCCAGAGATTTAATAGCTTTTGAGTATCTAATCGTAAAATGGTTTGAGTTGGAAAGGACCTTTAAAGGTCATCTAGTCCAACCCCCCTGCAGTGAGCCGGAACATCTTCAACCAGACCGGGTTGCTCAGAGCCCCGTTCAACCTGGTGCTGGATGTTTCCACGGATGGGATATCTACAACCTCTCTGGGCAACCTGTTCCAGTGTTTCATGCATTATAGTGATTGTGGCATAAATTCACATACTGGGTCAAGTAACACAGACTATATGGATACTGGACATTTTTTGGCTAAATGACCATACATTTTGAGGCTTATCCAAATAACTGATTAAAAATTCCAGCAGAAAATCTGATAACTTTTACAGACTTTATGGTACTATTTCTAGCATCCAGCAACTCTTCTTCATCCACTTAGAATAACTCTTCCTATGATAATTTTACGTCTCAGCTGTAATTCTCTCTCTCGCATTATAAACTCTCAAACTGACTACATTGAAGACATTTTAGTCCATGGCAATTTTCTGTCACTCCTGAAAAGCTGTTCAGCAAGGCAAGGCTCAGGTCTCGAGACGCTACATAGTCACTACACAGAGCGCTCTGAGCTAAAACAGTCGGGTCATGTAGGTGTCCAAGTCTACCTTGGTGCAAAATCCCAGCTTCTGCTGAGCTTATAAAAAAATCCATGTTATTGCATGTGCACACAAGAATAAGAAAGTGAATTCAGATTCAAACTTCTTAAGTGACTTTTTTTTGTTCTGAAGCTCAAGATGAAGCCCCCACACTTTTTTTTTTTTAGGGATTTTGGGGGCAGTGGTGTTTTGATTGGTGATCCCACCTTACTTAGATATTTGCACTCATTCAAGAATCAGCTCTGGAGGGTGGTGCCCAGGGCAGCCAACAGTGCTGTCACGCAGTGCATAGCAGAAGCAGAGTGGCAAGAAATGTCCTGGTGATATTGAGATTCGCAAATTTTTCAATTTTGCTCTCATTACACTCAGTGATAAAACTCTCATTGATTTAGTGCAAATAAAACTGTCAGAACTGACCAGTGCAAAACAGGGGTGTCTCAGGTCCTACCAAGCCTGGTCCCTTTAGCTGGCATTTAATACCAATAAATGTCCCAGCCCTATAAGGGTTACCACATGTATCTCTGCATGGGGAAAAGAGCCTGCCAATATGGAAGTAGTTGTGGATTTTGAGTCGTAGTCACCACATTACAATTGTGCAAGTCTGTGCAAGATCTGGCCCTAAAGCATCTCTGTGCTTAACAATTGACTTGCTAGTTTTCTGACTACTGGAAAGGAAACAACAAAATACACCTGAAGGTCAAGTCACCCAATATTTTGTTTCCTATTAAAAACAATAAACAAACTCTACGGGAAACTTTGAGTTAACCTGGGTAGAATAGATTTTAAACGATTTGAAATGTGAATTTTAATTGTAGAAAATAAATAGATCTGCAGCAACTTAAACAGTGACTTTTTAAAAAGTTTGGGGTGTTTTTTTCCCCTTCATTACTAATGAAACTTTCTGAGTAAAATGTATGATGGAAAAAATTTAAACAGTATAAATATCCCATTAACATACTATAATCATGTTATAAAAGAGGATAAAACTGTTGCTTACCAGCTTCAATGCATTCTGAGGTCAAACAGTACTGTTGCTTCGGATGAAATTTTACAAGACCTTGGCTAACTGCAAAATGGAAAATTGTAATGAGATCATTTGTAATGAATTTTGACCATTGCAGCCAAGTGTCATATACTTGATCATTCAAATGTCAGTGCAAGCTCTGGCCCTAATGCATCGCTGACTACATTAATTTAAAACAGTTAGAACATATATTAAGTAAATACTGCAGCTCGTCACAAATAATCTTCCCCTCCTGTGCCTGCTTTCTCCTTCCTCTGCCTTTGCTCGTAGGCAGCGCGGAGCAAGGGCCGTCTCCCACCGTACGTTTGCACAGTGCCTGGAGCAACAACGCTTCAGCCTTACTCACGGACGGCGAGCGCCACCGTGATACAAACAATCAATCACAGTTGCTATCATCCTCCAGAAACGCACCTTCCACATGCAACCTAGGCACCTTCCGCAGGGTTTTCGCAGCTCCTCCCGAGCTGCGGGGCTCAGGCTGCCCTGCTGCACCTCCTCCTGCAGCAGCACTGCGCTGCCCGGACACACCGGCACGGCAGGACATTTTTAGGGTCCCCTTAATCCAGCTTGGAATCAACCAGATAGCAATGGGCACGGGGATAGCTGTGGTTTATAAGGCACAGCACGGTTTCTGTCTGAATCTGCTCCCAGAAGTATTGTAATTGTATCAGCTTCCAAAAAAACTTGCTGACAAGAACCATGAAATTGTCAAATAATTTTGCTCATCTTTTAAAAACTTGTATTACAGCTGCCACTGAAATTTAAACATAGGAATTGCTGATTTTAGACACTGCTGTCAGGCAGCAAATATGCAGATAATTGATACTTGGGATGAAGATGGGAGAGTCCCAAGGGGTAGATGAAATAAGACTCAATAGATGTGCTCAGTAGACATAAAGAAACGTTTCGTTATATCCATTATCTTAATAACTCAGTCCATGGCAAAAATAAAAGAAATAAAACCCAAACAAAATATTGGAATATGGAAAATATGGAATATATTAAGGTATTATAGTTTTACCAGTACTGATAGTTATAAAGCAATTTCTCCTGTAGTTCTATATTGTTCAAAAGGGACAGGAAAAAGTGTCTATTTCAGCACAGGAAATATAAAAAACCTAAAGCTAGAATATAATATAAAGCTGTTCAATCTCTTCCAACCTCATATATTTAGTGATAATTATTGACAGCAATGGCTGGATTTCAATCAAAATTTCCTAGAAACTGAGGATGTAAAACTATTTCTGGACAACTTTACTAAAGCTTGCATTGACTCAGTGAAACAACACCTCAACCACCTTTATAAATTAGCCAAGAAATACACCAGATTTTGAGGCATGTAAAGATTGTAATTGGAATATTGAAGAATAGTAGAAAACAGGGAAATGCAGGTCTCTAGAATATGATTTTGAGCCATGTGAATTACAAATAATGGATAATGGGCCTATTAATTTTTGAAAGTGTTGCACTCCCCATTCATGGGGATTCACCTTTTCCTGCTTTAGAGTTTGCCTTTTAAAATCTGTCCAGGTCTTGAAAGTTTGCTAGAGTTTTTTTTTTTTTTTTTTCTTAATGAAGCAGAGAAAGGAGGGAAAATCCCAGACACTATTTAATTCTTTTGCACTTGATGGAAAATCAGGGAGAACTACAAAGAATCAGTAAAGAATCCAAGGTAGCCCTTGTGGTTTTGATACTTATAAACAAAAGCAAAATACTATTTCAACTGGTTTTGTTCCATTTACAACTTCATCATTAGAGCAAATTAAAAAAAAAAAAATGGCACTAACATTTCCCTTTTAATTAACAGCTAATTTTGATTGAAAAAAAACCAAAAACCACTTTGCCTGGTTTTGGTCTCTCGCCTTTTTGCTGCTGTTAAGAGAACTAACCATTACGTTATTACCTACAGTTGTGGTTATAACACTCAGTGTCCCAGCTTCTTCCTTTATAAGCCTGTTTCCAGATTCTTCAGTAAACATAAACTGTAATTAAGTTCCCCCAAAAAATTTGAAAGGGGAAAAGACATGTAAATATGCAGACACAAATAATGTGGGTATTTCTATAATCTGAGAAGGGCTACCAGGTCAGTAGAAGAGGCTACCGAATTGAGGTTCAAAGCTGCCTGATGCCAAGTGACTCCCCGCTGAAGTCACGGTACGAGCAAGTAATGGTAAATAAAAATAAGTGATTCTCCCAGACTTCTCTTAGAGTTGTAGGAACTCTGAGAAGAAAGGAGACAAGCAGGAGGAAGCTACGTTTCATTGCTCAGGCTGTAAAAATGAGGAAAATTGTTTCAGGTTTACCAGAAACAGCAAGTTTTTCAGATTAAATGAAAGCTGAAGAAAAAAGTCATCCTGAGGTGCCTGAAATAATGATCTCCTTTTCTACAGTTTCACAAAACTGAAAGAGTTAAACTCAAACTTGCAGACAAAACACAGTGTCAATGAAACATGGAAACATTGGATTGACAAAATGTTAAACCAAAATAATTTAACTTTTTTCCTTTATTTTTGGTTGAAAACCTCAGACACTTTCCAAACAAATCCCAAAAACATTTTGGTTGATCCAAAGCCAGCATTTTTATTTTCTTAGCAGTTATGCCAATGAAAATTTTGACACTGAATCCCTGCCTATGGAATAGACCTCAGCACACTTAGAAAACTATCTCTAAGAATTAATATATTTGCTTGAATTTTCACATCTGGTCTATGGATGAAGTACTTCTATCTCTGACAAGCTATGGTGGTAAACATTGGTTGCTTTTTACAAGCAATAAACAATCTAGAGCTTAAAAAAAGAAATAAAGTCTCTCCATTATACTCCCTGGTGTTTGATATTGTATTCTTTAAGCGAAAAACATTATTTTTCATCTAGAAATAGTATTTTGCACTAACAACTTGAGGATTCAATCCTGCTCACATTTTTAAAGAGTTTTGTTGAATTGAGTGGGATTACTTACATACACAAAAGCTACTTGCCTGCAAATGTTTGTAGAACTTGCTCTAGAGCAGAAAAACACTGACCGAGTGTGAGCCTGGTGCTTGAAATATTCTATAGGAAACCTGGCATAGTTTTCTCTGTTGTGATTATAAACAAAGCAGACCTTTCAAACAAGATCACAAGATCCTAAAAGATCGGAGGGAAGCCGAAGATATGCTGAGAGGCTAAGTTCCCTCCAGTCCAGGGAAATCTGTGTTGGTCTAAAGAAATGAAAAGTTGGGCTCAATTATTTCAAAAGAGGATCTGTCTCCACAAGCTCTGACAGGATACAACACTGCTTGGTTTTTTTTTTTCTCTGCCTGGTAGTTCCTGGGTACATTTATACTTCTTCACATCATTTTATAGGTGTAGGCGTATGCTTCCATATGATATTCCAATAAAACCAATCTACAGATGATTCCAAATCCTGGCAAGGAAAAACTAATTCCTTTTCTATTGTGTCCAGTTACAGCTTATAGATCTGATCAAAACATTTTAATTTCATCCCGGATGCACTCTTTATGATTTTTGCAAAGACGACTTTGCAATCCATCGTAGAAGAACAGAAACATCTAAAAAATGTGCAAGCACATGCATTATTGAAGCCTTCTACAGGAATTTTAGTCAAGCCCTAAATGAAAACCAAATGAAGGAAAACCCAAAAGATTCCATAAGATGTGTGCGCTACAGATTCATATTCAGGAAACAGAGAATATTAGCCCACATCAGTCACAATCTGCAAGCTCGCAATCAGCACTACCAATGTGCATAATTTCACCCGTTTCTTCCCTTTCTGTAAAAGAACCCAGTTCTGGCTAGAACACATTCAACTGAGCATCCAAATTTAAATTCAGCATTCAAAAGTTACATGAGCTCACGTTGCAGCTTCCAGCTCTTATGATCCCACAGCAAATCCCTTTCCTGATACGTTTCCATTTCACAGCAAATATAAAACTCAGGGGTGGGGGAAAAGAAGAAGAGACCGAGATTTTCACCAAAACACGTTGTGGAGCACAAACACCGGCACTGAACGGACAGTTTCGGGGGAGGATTTTGTTCAGGTGAGCCTCGACCGTTTCACTTACCCAAGAAAAGCATGGTGCCAAGCACAACGGTGCCGCTCACAAAGACGCCGAGGGCGATGTGGGTGGCTTTGCTGGCGGCTCTCCTGGTCTCGGGTACCGTCTCTCCTTCCATTGGGATGGCTCAGGACGTGCTCGCTCTCGCAGAAGCCTGGTTTTCCTCTGCTGCTGCGGTACGGGTATTTCAACCGTTCACAAACTGCACGAGCTCTCCTCGTCCTCCTCTCTTCTATTTACAGCTCCAGGTTTCTGTCGTGAACCATTTCCTAGGCACTTCCTGCTCTCTCCCTCTCAAAGGAAAATCACTTGTAAAAGAGTAGCTGTCTCCTACGTTTTCCTCTGGCCAGGAGGAGGAAAGGCGAGCGGTGACCACTGCGTGTACAGCCCGTGCTGCCTGTAGAGCCTCTACGAGCCAATCGCTCGGCAGTCCCCCTTATCAGGGGTTCCGAACACCAGGATTTCACAATGTTGCTGAACAGATGTTTTAGCTATTCAAACATATAGCTGTAAACCCTTTACAATCAAAGCAGGATTGCTGACAACTGTACAAGCATGAGACTGGTGGAAGGTTTTGTTTTTTCCCCCCTTGCACTTATTTAAAAAGACTAATTATCTGCTGACTAAAGTTTCCTCCTCAAACCATCATTTGGCTTCACCAGAAGAGATACGCACTCAGCAGATAAATCCCTTTTTAAAGCTTCTTAAGAGCTCTTAGAATATCATGTAGCATTTTATTTTGGGAATTTGGTATGTGACACCGCATGCCAAAAATCACAGTCATGCAGCACAAAGCAATAATCAGCACAACCTACAGAACAGTGCTGCTTTAAGAGCTAGATTTCTCTTTTTTCCTGGCAAGATATTTCAGTCCTTGCTGATACACAATGAATCTTAGGAGATGATCCTATACTTCCAACTCAAGTACTACTATGAGCTTAGTGGAAAGTATCTATTTGGCACTTCAAGTTGATGGGGAAATAAAAAAAAATAGAAGCCTTATTCATATGAATTTCTTAGTTTCTGACTTAGATTTGGTGATCCCCTTTCCAGGTAGCAAAGTTTCTCCATTCATCAAGTAATGGAATTAATCATTTCAGGGTGAATTGTCTGAGCTGACTGTGACATTCAGCCTTCTGAGGAGCTCTCGGTTCCTCCAGAGCTGGACTCCCATGCAAAACATAAGGATGCTGGGAGAGGCAGCGCCATGCTCATGCTCCCAGCAAGAGTTTATGTGTCTGAGTTACTTCTATGCAGATTTATGAGTTCATATCTCAGCCCCCGCTCATCCCGATTAAAAAAACCCCCGCACAAGTAGAGAGAAGAAAGGCATGTCATAAGGTATGTGTGATGGCAAAGTTATCGGTTTGGAGACCAATCGTTTGTCCCTATGAGCACCTGCACGCAAATTGTCCTGGATCCAAAATGTGCATAAAGGGAAAACGCACTCCATCCACAAGAAAACTTAGAGTTTGAAGGTCCTGAAACCCCTCGCCCCTCAACCCCCGCTACAGCCTGGCTAGGGTCCTGCAAACAGGATTCCTTCATTTCTTATTCCTGTTCCTCTTCGCCAGCAAGCTCCAGGAGGACATTCTTATCTCTGCTTGGCACAAAACAGGAAAAAAGCATTTGTTTCTTTTCACCTGCTGTGTTGGTTTTGCATGGCAAGGTTTT